AAAGATCTTACATTAACTCCATGCATTTTTAGGGTGCCTCAGAACACAATTTGAAAGCAAATTATCAAGATTTAAAGTAAAGAAAGCATAACTTTAAAAAAAAAATTTTTTTTTTGGAGAGGTTTTTGTTATAGGGTGCATGCACTTGCCAGGAAAACAGAGAGACAGAAAGCGAGAAATCACCTCCCAGGGTGAATGGCCACACTGCAATCCCTTTTCCTCCATTCTCCTCTAGGGATCTTGGGCATGCATGCACATGCACCCGGCGTGAGTTTAAGCCACCGGGTTTGGGACTCGAACCGCGGTCGACTACATGGGAGTCCAGTGACGTAGCCATTTCACCATCTGATGGTGCCAAAGAAAGCATAACATTTAAGTACGGAAAACTGAGGCCCCCAACAGGAAAAAGGATATTGCCAAGATTCACACAGTCATTTAGTGGCAGAAATAGGATTAAAATATATGCCTGCCATATATTTTAGAAGTCTTTGGAGTTGAGTTGCAGAAAGTTCCTTAAGGGAGTCCAGTTGGTGGTGCAGTGGTAAGACAGCTGGACTCACATGGGATAGGTCCAGGGTTCATGTCCTGGGATCTCCCTGAACATGCCAAGCATACATGCATGTGCAGATCCAGGCAGGCTGAGACTAGGGGTAGATCATGGCTTGGGGGCCCTATTCAGGGTGTCCCTCTTCTCTCTCCACACCTCTCTCTGAAGAAAAACATAAACCTTGGAAAAGAAGGGTGGTAATTTTTTCCCTGAACATGGTCAGTGAAAGTTTTGTGGGCAGAGCAGTTATAGAGAAGAGGTCTGGAACAAAGGAGAATAGATCCACCTAGCATAGAGGAGTGGGAAACACTGGGGTCAGAGAGAAGGAAAACTCTCTGAATCTGGAGGAGATCCAGGAACTTACATGGCAATGGGACAATTGAAATTCAAGGAATAAAGCAAGACAAGAGGAAAGGGGATTTTAATAACTGTGAAAAGAGAGTTCTTTATTCTTTTTCCCACTGAAACTGTTGATCTGAGATGGCAGTAGGGCAGAAAGGAAAGGCAAAATACATTTCTCTAGGATGGGATGCAAATTCTGTCTGTAATTATGCTTTCCTGAGATGTATGGGGCTGAGGTACAGTTTCTCTTTATGGATTTGAATGTGATATTCACACTCCTCTCTGAGTTTCCAAGTACCTGAGAAATAGACATGAGAGTTGGGAAAGCATGAAAATGTCTGCTTTATTAATGATTAAGCTGATTGAACAACATGATTTGGACCTACGCTCAAAATGTTCTTTCTTCACTTTTTGCTCTAGATAGAATTACCCTCTAGTGACACATCTCTAGGTGGAGGAGATAGGAGCATGCATGTGGTCTTTAGGCAAACAGATCACAGAGAGTTAGAATCCCCCTTCTCTAGCCTCGTCAATAATGTGTCATGGAGATGAAAAAAAAAAAAAAGAGGATATAAACAGGTACACGTACCTTTGGTGGGCCAAGAAATACGTGGCAAAATATTGTGTTTTCTCTATACCTCTCATTTTCTAGGGAAGAAGGATTAGAGAAAAGAAAAGAATCTACCATCACCTGTAGAATCATCCAGTTGTCAGTTTTTGGCCCAGTGGTTCCATTAGCTCATGACAGAGTCTAATTGTCAAAAGAACTGTAGCTGGTAGGTTGGGGTTAGAAACAAAGGTGAGGTATTTGCATGTTTGTGTTTGCAAATTTATAATGGTAAGTGTCCCTGCTCATTATATATTCTTGAAGTCTTCTCTGGATATGTTTATCTCTAGTACTCACCTCAGTGTGGCCATCCCCATAATTCTACATACATCCTAAAAATTATCTTCTAAATGGTGTTTGTAGAGGCAAACAGTGAGAGCTTTCCCAAAGGAGAATTTGAGGAATAAGATACCCTTCTCAATTTCTCAATATTATCCCTCATTCTTTCTAAGATCTACCCCTTTTCTGACTTACAGCTTTGTCCTCCTTTTTTTTTTTTTTTTTTTTTTTTGGAGAGATTTTTGTAAAAAAAATTTGGAGAGATTTTTGCTATAGGGCGCGTGTGCTCGCCAGACAGACAGAGAGAGACAGAGAGATAGAAAGCGAGAAATCACCCCCCAGGGGGGATGGCTACGCCGCAATCCCTTCTCCTCCATTCTCCTCTCGGGATCTTGGGCATGCACACACACGCGCCTGGCGTGAGTTTAAGTCACCAGGTCCGGGACTCGAACCGTGGTCGATTACATGGGAGTCCAGGAACATCGCCATTACGCTAACTGCTGGCCCCACAGCTTTATCCTTCTTTATTGAAGCCTAATCTGGTTCACATCCCAAGAATGAAGCAAGAGAAAAGGGGAAAACAAAATAACCCTGGTGTCAGCAGAAGGATAAAAACATGTAGTCAGTGGTATGATGGTTCGGGTACTGAACCCCACAGGGATTCAAGCATGGATCAAATCCTAGACCCAGTGCTTGAAAAACACACTGGGCACATGTGTGTGCAGACCCAAAATCCAGAGAGGAAAATGGAAAAGAAGGGATTGCGTTGTGGCTTTCCCTCGGGGCATTTTATTGCTTTACCTCTCTCTGTCTGTCTCCGGCAAGTGCAAATGCCCTACAGCAAATAAAAAATGCCAAGAGTGAACATAGATCTCCTACATGTCCATCCCACACTCCAAATATTTGGCCCTGCTCAGAGCTCCTTTTGACTCCTCCCTTGGTGAGATTGTTAGCCTTCATTGTACCTGGAATTTTATCAGCAACGGCATATATTCTGAGCAGGAAGACATCCTTCTTTACTTTAGCATCAATATAAATCAGTCATTCATCAATTATTTTCAACAAATTTTTATTTAGCATAGACTGTATGACAGGCATGGTGCCAGGAGATGGGAATATAGTGGTGAACTAGACTCAGTCTTGATTTTCAAGACATTCAAGGTTCAGTGGGAGCAGACTAGG